CAACAATAATTTGTTGTAGAATGTAACAGTATGGTGAACACATTTGTACGTTACACAATGTTTTTATGTTGCCTGAAATATTCTCAAGAATCCCACAGAGTTCTGGAGGAGCCGGTCCTTGTAACAATGAGAGCGGACAGGAAAGCATTGCAGAGGCTAAGGTAGGCATTTCACACACCAGAAAGTTGCATTTTTACAAAATACTTAAGACAGCTTTATACAAGGTCTTTTAACATGGTGTATTTTAGATCAAATGTATACAGACTTGCTATTTCCATGTTGTAATCTGCATCTTTTATTAAAATACTAGTTTTCATGTTTCTGCACCCTCTGTGCCCTTCACGGCCAAGTATGTGTATATATATATGCCTTATTGATAGGTGAGTTTTGACTTTTTTCCTTTCTCCCCTACCATCCTCTCATTGACATTTGGACCTCCAATCTGCATTTCTATTGACTTTTACCGGGACAAAAAAAGTTATCTTTCCTTGCATGTCCACTAAATTATGAATTATTCAACCACTCTACTTAAATATATTGTCTATGTTTTTAATTCACAGTACATTAAATGCTTCAGTGACATCAATCTACTTTATTATACTCTCCTCAGATCCACCAGTGAGCCAGATTTCAGCTACACAGATCTGCAACAACCTTGAGTATGCTGTTTCTGTACAGTAACACAAAAGATGATTACAATGTAAATTTTTATAGAAGATGATCAACAATCATACAATGTTGTATTGTAACAATTCAATAAAAAATTATAAGAGAGATTTGTGGTTTGATGTAAAAATCCCTTGAGCCTATCTACTGATCATCATTAGCCTTGACAAATTCATTGGTCTATGTTAGATAACCTCATTAACCAAGCACAGTTTACCTCAAGTCACAGATGCTTTTTCAAGGTTAAAACTGATAATCACTTTTGGTTGTAAGACTGAGGTTGAGAAAAAAGGTTTTTAATTTCCCTTAGATCAAAAGTGGAAGATTTCTTGTGTTTTATAATGTTTTGCTTTGTTCTTCTGGCAGTAAAAAGCTGAAGTTTGGCAAGAAACGTGGGAATTTAAAATTAATAATGTCTCTTCTTCTCAAAACATTTATCTTGATTTTGTAGCCATGTACTTGATAACTCATAAAAACAATAATAATTTCAGTGCCAAAGTACAAATAAGAGAAAACAGCCTGAGGCAGAGGTTTTACAAAGGTAGAGATAATACAGAACTGAAATATGTGAGGGGGGAAAAAAGGATTGTTTTTGTCATGTGGGGGCACATGGAAGGCAATGATTAAATGCTGGAAGAGAGGGGAAGATGTCAGGCATTCACCAGTATGCAATATAAGTGAACTTGTAAAAACCCAAGATGCTTATGTTACCCTAGGATAACTCATCTCTCAAGCAAATATGATAAGTATGAGTAAATCAACTGTTATCTTCAAAATGTCTTCAGTGGTGTATGGAAGAGTTTATCTCACTCTTTTTCTGTTGATTTTTTGAAATGAAAGAAAAATCATCTGAATGCAGTCTCTCATATTTGAATGGAACAATGGGATGGGAAAAGAATCTTACTCATGCAGCTATCTTTGTGATTTCTTTTCATACTCCTTGGAACATACTCATTACATAGACGCAATTGGCTGAGTTGTGAAAGTATTCTCATGGATGCACTGCAAGTGTCTCCATGTAAAATTGCTTTCTACATTTGTGCATTAATTCTCAAGTGTCTTGGGGTAGATGCTGAAGTCACATCCATGCCACGATAAATGCCCACGAGTTTATGGGTGCTTTATACACCAGTCTGCAAGGGAACTTCACTTTCATACTGAGATAAAGAGGATTTTTGTGCAATGAGGTTTGTTTCCAGTGTGCTGAAGGCTGTTAACAAGCATTTGTGTGCAAGAGACATAGGAGTGGCTGCTGCCTTTTTATTCCTGTGTAATGAGTGTTTCATCACTCTGTGTTATAAAAGGTGAAATGTTCATAGTCCTGTCTGGTTTTGGTAAGACAAACAGTTTTCTAAGATATGGGAGGATTTAACCCAAGCTTTAATTCTAGTGCTTTGTATGTTTGTTTACCTGGAGAAGACTGAGTTCAGGACAAATATGGGACAAATTGAGTCAAAAATATCCATGCTAATGGCTAGGTGATGTTAGGGAGCACCACTGGTAATCTGTGCTGGTAAATATTTAGAGTGATCCTTGGCATGGGGACCAGCACCAGCTATTCACAGCACAATTAAGGGTTTTGTGTGGACCAGGGTATCAACGGCAAAACACAGTTTGGGTGATACAAGCCACTTCTGAAGTGTTAAAACATTTAAAATACATACAGGCTACTGATCTGATTAAACCTATAAATAGATTAATACATGCTGCAGGACACCAGAGGAATGACTTGGCTGAAATACTGCTAAATGCCTTCTGAAAGACCTACAATTGAGTTAATCTCTCTGGCTGTGAACAAAAAATTCACAGTAAATAAAATCACTTTCTAAAAAGAGTTGTGATCCATTGCGAAGAGGCAAACTATGAAATTTGCCTCTTTTTGAGCATCCACCCCAGGACTTAATGCTTCTGCATTTAAAGAAAAGAACACTCAGAGCACTGCTTTCTTTTGCCTCATATTCCATGGGTTTTTGTGTCAGGCAAGGATCAAGCTTCACACATGATCCCACAAGTAATATAGACCTGGAAATCCAGAAATAAAAGCACATGTAACACTCATTACTGACAGGATTCACAGTAGAGCTGTAAGGATTCTCATTTAGACCTCACAAAATCTGACTTCTCTTCCTCTCATGTCTCTCCCACCTCATTTGCACACTTAGGCAAGTTTTGCCATCAGGAGTCATATGCCCTCAGTGTTATATCCACCCAATTTATCCACTCATCCCATGTGCTTGTAATCTGTAGTAAATTTAGCTTTTGTTATTGGCAGAATTTATGAGCTGGGGTAAGTCTACCTTTGTAACAGAGACTAGGTGGATATTTCTGTGGCAGCATGCCATGAACAGTCTTCTGAGGCAATAAAACCCTAAAAGTCAGCCCAGCCATTTTGGAAAAGGAGATTAAGATTTCTTGGAAAAAGTCCTATAAAACTATTGAAACTAATACTAGATTTAGGGTTTGATTTTGTAAAGACATTTAAGTAATGCATTACCAACCTCTGCTTAGATTATGTCCAGTTATGGACTTGGATTTGTCCAATGTAAAGGTGAAGGCTTGGGTTGGGTTTACCTAGTAAGGTTTTGGTAGGAGAGAGGGAGCTATAGGAATGGCTTCCCTTAGAAGCTGCCAGAAGCTCCCACAATGTCCAGCAGAGCAAAAACCAGACAGCTCCAAGATGGGCCCACAGCTGGCCAAGGCCAAGCCCATGGCCAACAGTGGTAGCATCTCTGGGATAACATACATAAGAGGGAGGAGAGGAGGACAAAAAAAAATAATAAGCAATTGGAGCTGGGAAGAGGAGAGAGAATACGCAAGACAAACAGCCCTGCATGTACTGAGGTTGAAGAAGGAGAAGGAGGAGGTGCTCCAGGCACCAGAGCTGATTCCCCTGCAGACCATGGTGCAGACCATGGTGAAGCAGCTGTGGCCCTGCAGCCCATGGAGGTCCACAGGGGAGCAAAGATCCACCCACAGCCAGAGAACCCCACGCTGGAGGTGAGACCTGAAGGACGCTTTCACTACATGGGAAGCCTGCACTGGAGCTGGGTCCTTATAGGATGGACCTGTGGGCCTGTCAAGGAGGGGCCCACGCTGGAACAGGTTTGCTGACAGGGCTTGTGACTCTGGGTTGGACCCACACTAGAGCCATCAGTGCCTGAAGGACTGCTACCCATGGGAAGGGTGGGCCTTCACACTGTTGAAGCTGGTAGAGGACTGTCTCCCATGGGAGGGACCCACACTGAAGCAGGGGAAGACTGAGGAGTCCTCATGCTAAGGCTGAAGGAGGAACAGAGACAACATGTGATGCACCTCTGGAGGGGAGGAGGGGGAGAAAACTGCAAACAAAGTTGAGCCTGGGGAGGAGGAGGAGGAGGGAAGAGTTAGGGTTTTTTTCTCATTACCCTACCTG